AACCTTCGGAGGTAAAAAGATCCAAGCTAAAGAGTATACTAACTGTGTGGCAACTCCTTTGTTCTTTCATGAAGATGATGCTGATGACAACTTAGTGATCTTTAAAAGTCCACCACCAGCCCTTCATCTTAAGTTGTCTCTAAATTATGTCCGTAAAGAGCAACAAAACATTTGGCCAGGACTTCAGATTTGGTTAGCAGGACATTTTATTCTCTTCAAACCATACCATGGTGACATACTTGAAGGTAATGAGTGTTCTAAGGTTCTAAGACTCCTTGATAGTTTGGAGAAAGTACTTCCTATGGAGCTGTCTGGTTTTTTGATTTACATGCATGACTTTTCAAAAGTTATTGACTCCATTTGGTGTGTCTGTAGATCCTGATTATAGGAATGTTTTTAAAAACCTAAAGATGTCTTTTAAGTCTTTACAGGAAGAGTTTGGAATGTCTGAAACCCCTAAGTTTCATGTAATACTCACACATATTGAGTTCATCGACATCACAGGAAAGGTACTTGGTCAGTTTTCAGAACCGGAATTAGAAAACTCACATTCAGCATTCTTAGTGGTTTAGGAGCGATACCTGATAAAAGACATTTTTTCACCTAGATATATGGAGAACTACTTTAAGGCTATCCTAAACTTTAATGCTAATAATATTGAGTTATATAGTGTGCAATAATATGTATTTTCAGTTTTTATATCTATTTAAGTTGTACTTTACTGAAAACAATATTTTAAATTACTTAAAAAAAAGATTTTATCCCTTTTTTTTTTTGCCGGATTTTAAAAGCCGTTTCTCAAAATTTTCCCAACAAATATTTTTTATTTTTATAATTTTTATAACTATTATATATATGTAAAAGAATGACACAATACGTTTTTTTGGGTGTCTTCATAAAGGTTCAGTTTCACTTTGGCACACGGTGCCAGAGTTTGGTATGACTATTGGCTAGATTTCCACCAATTTTTATTGAATTATATTGAGTGGTTCAAATTCTACAAGTTTTTTTATTGGCGCACTATGAAGTCAAAGTTTGACTTAATTTGAACATTCAAATTTAATTATTTTCCGCGGAAAAAAATAAATGATTTTAAAATTTGCATCTACAGGGTACCTTGATGTGTACGCTAACTCTCCGTATAAGTAGCATTCTTGGGACAGCTAGGTAGGCATTATAAGGATTCGTGCTAACCGTGCGTATTTTAGCAGCAACCACTAGATATCGCTCTGTGCGCAACATGTTGAAAATTTTTTAATATAATGTAAAAAAGAAACAACAAAAACCCCTCAAAAAAATATTGTCTAAAAAAAAGAATGAAACATTTTTTTTACCAACAATAGTGTCCTAAAATTGGACACTCCATTGTTGGTAAAACATCCTTTTCTATTTATAAGGGAGATTTGCAATTTAAAATAAGATGGTATTAACATGAGCATTAGAAATGTTATGTGTTTAACTACGTGTGTTAAATTTTTTTTATGTATTTTGTAACATTATACGTATTAATACAATTGTTTTATGAATATACTGTTAATACTAATACTGTTAATACAGTTAATGCTTTATAAATTTATCAAATATTTTAAAAAATGTGAATTTAAATAAGGTAAGAAAAATTCTCAAAGTATAATTATACAACTATTTAACAAAAAAAACTCTTGACTAGACAATAAAAAATTAACATTCTATTTTTAATTCAAGACCTATATTTTTTATATCTGCTGGATAACGGCGTAAAATTTCTCTAAATGATTAATGATTAGTCAGAAAACTCTTTCATGTCTGGACAGTAGTAAAACTCTTGTTTTAAAAATGTACATTATATCTGTAATGAGAAGGCAATAAAGAAACTTATCAAAATCAATCATATAACAATAATACAGGAGCGTGTACAGGCAATGTTTTGTATACGTCAAAAAAAAAATCATGCTTCCTCCTCCTCCCCATTTTTTTTTATGTTTTGGCCGGGTTAAGTATATTTTATAAAATGCTTCAATAATTGCTAAAATGACTTATAAAATCACTTCTAAAATAGTTTCTAAAGATGAATTAATGATTTTTGCAAGTTTAAAAAGTTATTTTTTCTAAATACTCAGCTAAGGTAATGTTTAATATACAGACTAGAAATTTTTAAATACAAGACTTTAATACTAGTAGACAAAATTCAAGACCATAAAATTATCATAAAAAATGAAAATAGTAAACGCAAGAGTTGATTTATTTTGTTTATTACAAAAATCAAACGTAAAAAGTACAAAAGACCTTTATTGTTAACTAACTGGGAACAAAATCTGTTTATTTTTTCTCAAGTTCATAATGGCTGACAAAAACCACGTCCTAAAAAATTTTGCAGAAACTCTTTTTTAAAAACATTTAGTTGTGTGAATTTTTTAAATATAGTTTTATAAATAACTTTTAATTATAAATAAACTTTATAAATACTTTGCAAGAACCAAATAAACTTGCAATAATTGCACAATGCTAAGTAATGTTTTTACAAAGATGTCTGGCTACTTGGTAACAAATGGTAACAAATGGTAGCTAGAATACTTTTAGAAATAATACTTTTATGATACTTGAATTTTATATAAAACACAATTTATTTTTTTTTAAATTCGAAATTATCCATACTTAATTTGAAAAAAAACCCAATAACTTATATATTCACTTCCTCCTAATCGACTTAAATTCAATTAAGTCGGGTGAAAATCATAAAGTTCTTTTATCTTTTCATTCGATTTAACTTTCAACTCTTTTATTTTTGTTTGCTTGTTTAAAAATAAAAGCACGTACGTTTATAACTAGAGGTGTTCGAATATTCGGCTAAACTCGGATGCCGAATATTCAGTGACACTTATTATTTTGAGGGATTTTGAGATTATTATGTTCCGACCTGGTTTATTGAAGTGCATATGGGTATACTGGCAAAAGATTTTGAGTCAAAAAATGACAGTTTTGATTTATTTTTGCTGCAGTATTGTCAAGTTTACAACGCTCCTAGAAACTGTTAAAATACACCAAGTCGAATGAAATATATTTTCTCTGCTTATTAAAATACACTTAATGATCATAAAACGGCTTTTTTATTTAAGGTATAAACTTTTAAACTAAAAAATATTTAAAACTTATATATAAATGACTTTATAAATATTTTAATATTTATAATTTTTAAGCTATAAATATTTTCTATTTTAAAGTAAACACCATATGCAATTTAATAAGATTATAAATGTTTCAAATTGAATAAAGCTTAAATAATTGATTTCTTTTAACAGGGATTTTTGAGTTAACGTTTTACCAAAAATATGTTAACTTCGCAATGGGCGTTTTTTCTTGTTTATGACTTTATTATTTAATTTATGACTTGGCTGTGGTTAACAGCACACATTATTTATTGACTGATACATAAATTTGATTCAACTATAGTTATGTAGAAACTTATCAACTCTTCTAAATACTCAAAAAGTTTACAAATAAACCAGCTCAGGTATCGCAACCGTAGCGCAGTGGTTAGCGCGCTTGCCTTAGAAACCAGAAATCCGTGGTTAAATGCCACCTCTGGTCAAGTTCTATAAGTTCTGTAAGAAAGAAGGCGTAAACTTTCTTTCCAACGGTGCTCTGTGGTAAGACCGTAAGGACTTCTTGAAGTACCTAAAATAAACACTATAAAAAAATTGCATTTCAGAGGTAATTTTAGAAGTTGATATAGATAGATCTTTACTACAACCTTAACTTAAAACATGGTTTAATTTTAAATGGAATATCAATTATTTGGTTGCGATTAAAAAGATACGATAAATCTTTCTCAGTGAAATGTGACTAGTAGCACCGGTGATGATTCAGCTCTACTTTGTCAGAAAAATAAATGTAAATGAAAACGATCAAACTAAACTCTACGAAAAAATGCATAGATATGAAGACGTGAAAAAATTCGAATTGCAAATGATATTAGTTTTTACATAAAAAAGTTCGCTCAACTTGGACAGCAGATCCTTACAAGAGTTAATCACCAAACGCAGAATATTATCCAACCAGAACTTGCTCAATTTTCTTATTATTTACCGGTGGTTGTGTATTACTTTCAAATTCAAATAGTGTATTTATAAATATATCGTATAAAAAAAATATGACTTTTAAATATCCGTGGCTGGATAGCTCAGTTGGTTAGAGCGTCAAACAGAAAGTTAAGTCGAGGACTGTTGTAGGATACGGGTTCAAATACTGTGACCGCAAACTCAGCGCTTAAGTAGTATTCTATAAATGTTGGTCAATAACGGACGCTACTTTGGATTAGTCTTAATGACTATTTGCGACTGTTCCTATGCTAAGCCAACAATATCTTCGGATATAGCATTGTATAGAAAATTAATGCATGAAAATTCAAATAAGTAAAATTAAAAAGTGTTAAGATATTATTATGTAATAATAAAATATATATTTTTTAGACGACATAGCTGTTTTAAATGTAATAACAAGCAAACAAAAACTCGGTTAAAAAAAAAACTGTAGAATACTGAAGATGTTTTTCTAATAAGGTTATAAATACCAAATGAAACGCGATATTTATCAGCCTTGATTATTTTGTTTACAATAAGTCGAAGCAGTGTGTCCAACATGAAATATAATAATAAAAAATGGTCGCATATTCGGGCCGTTATAAATTTCTTTAAAATAGATTACTAATACAATACAAATAAGTTTAAAGTATCAATTTATAAATAACGCATCGAGTGGATACATAAAAAACTTGTTAAAAATTTTAAATAAAAAATTTCTTCAAAAGTTGTAAAATTAGAAAACTATTTATTATTACAAAAAGAAAATAAGAATAAAAAAATTTTCTAAAACTGACATTAATCGGAAAAAAGTTATTTTATAAACTATATAAATATATATATATCAGTTACGTAGTAACTTCCTTTTTTTTCTCGTTTTGTTTCTTTCTCGTTGTTTTCTTCTTTTTTGTTGTTTTATTTTTCTTTCTCACTGTTTTCTTTTTCTTTTTTGGTGTTTTATTTTTCTTTCTCATTGTTTTAGTTTTTTTTCTCGTTGTTTAATTTTTCTGTAGTAAGTATACACTCTTTGAAATAGTAAAAATTCAAAATAAATGTTAAGATACTGAGCTAAAAGTTGTTGAAGAATAATTTTCTTTCCTTGAGTTAGTTCCTCTGGATTTATTTTGAATGCAAGGAATTGATTTAGTAATTAGTTTTTGAACTTTTTGCGTGCAAATATAAGCAACAAACAACAATAACCCTTTTCCAGATCTAAAAAGCATGTATATAACAGCAACAATGGTATTAAAGTTCTCTTCTCCTTCTGACAACGATGTTTTACTTATTTGAACAAAACCAAGTAACTCGATTACTCCAAGTATTAATGTAAGTTTTAAAGCTATACTTGCAACATCAACTCGAGATGTTCTTCCTTCCCCAAATACTTTGTTGCTTTTTTTCTCTGACAATGTGATTTTATAAACGGTAAATAACAAACATATTAACGATGTTAAAATAATAATTACTATTGGAATAATAAAAGAGAAAAGCTTCGCATAAAATCCTCGTATCCAGCAAATTCCATCTCCGTAGCCAATATACGCAACACCAGTTTTTTCCAAAACAACATTTATAAATAAATATATTGATGGTATAACATAAATTACAATAAAGTATTGAATTAACTTTTTCCGTTTGGAAAATCGATGATTATAAGAACCAAACGTAGTAGCCACGTCAAGCGCTAAGATAAGGAGACTATGGTAAGCTACCAACAGAAACCAATGTAAAAGTATGGAGAATACTTTGCACCATATTCTATTTTTGTAGACTTGTGCTGAAATTAAGAAGGTAAAATCAGCAAAAAACAAGTTTATACATAAGGTTATTGACGCCACACTCGACCATGTTCTAAGTTCTTTAAAGTACGTGTAAACAACTATGATAGCTAAATAACACAGTACACTTGCTATTGTCCCAATTTTTGATGCAATATTTGCAACGTTTAAAACTTTAGCTTTCCATTTCAAAGAAATATTTTTGTAAATTTCTTTACATACTCCAACACCATTTGCAAGTGGAATGTATTCATTTGGGAGGTAAGCAAAACGTTTACCGTTATAGTAGTATATAATTGTTTGATTTGAACCTAAAGTATAATTTTTGATTACATCGTAAAAACAATTTTGTTGTAAATGAAAAACTTTGCAGTAGCTGATGTATTTGTTTTCTATTCCAGACTGTGCAATATCAATCCAGAGTACTACCTCCTCATCAGTTATATTATAATGAACGGAGTTGAAAGATGATGCAGAATAGTTTTTATCAAAAACCTGAATAGTTTCTGGTTGCGCACAAACATTTTTCCCTTTATAACTTCTTGTTAAATCAAATCCATACATTTCCGTAATTTCTTGATATTTTATTGACGAAATAAATATCGAAGTTGCATAACTGAAAATGATTGATTGATGTTTTCGAAAAGATTGCAGTCTTTCTGATGTAAAAGTTTCGTTTATTCTAAAAATTATTTTGTTTGCTTTTGTTAGTTTACTCGAAGATATAACGAGGGAGGAATTTATTGTTTCCAAAAATATTTCATTTACTGCAGTTAAATTGGTTGTTTCGTTTACAAGTACAAATAATGCGGGTTGTTGTGAAAATAAGCAATCATTGAAACTTTCTGTGTCAGTATTGTGCAAATAACTATTCCAATGACATTTTAATCCAAATGGTTCAGATGAATTTAAGTTTTTATTTCCTCTTTCACTTGTTTCACATTTATCAGCAAATGTATCGAAGAAATAACCATCATTGCATTTGGTCCCATGAGAGTAAGATTTATATGACGTTTTTACTTTTGATTTATCATTGATTTTAATTAACGCAGCCCAATTCATACCCCCCAGTTCATCGAAAATAGTCGGATATTGGCATTTAAAATCGTCTTCATTTAGATTTCCCAGATTTTTTTTAGCACATCTGTAACAGTCAAAATTTTTGTATATCTTATTGTTTATAGTAAGTTTTGCCGAATATGATTTGCATAAATTGTAATAAGGATTTCCAATGGGACAACTTTTTACGAAGTCATTTTGAGTGTCCTCTACACTACATGGTAGTATATATTTTTCAATGTATCCATTTTTCTCTATATCAGTAGAACAACCTTTGTACTCTTCTAAAATATCTAGCCATTTATTTTTACTCTTAGGGTTCATGGTTGTTCCTAATTCATTACCAGATTTTATTCCCGAACATTGTATTGTCAAATTAACCTGTTCATAGCTTGCAAAATTACATTTTGCACATGCAGCATTTCTATAAAGTAATTTGTCAGATCCAATGACAGGTATATTTTGAAATAAGTCTTCATTACTTATGTTGTTACATTGATTTTTATCTTCAATATTTGCTTCCTTTAAGCATGAGTGAACCATCATATAACTTTTACTAAAGTGACCTTAGTTTAAACCAGAAAATGCTAAACTTTCACACACTGCATCTTTAACAGTTTTTGATGTATTTACAATTTTATCCATATAGTCAAATAATGGTAGTGGGTCATTTTTGTTCCAATAAATATCAATGCAGCATGTCTTATATAAAAAGCAAGTAATGCTACAGCTGCAGCACCTTGGAAAACTATTTGACTGACACAGGAACTCTGATGTTTCTATATTCCATGTAAGGTTCGAAATGTTCCAATATACTTTCAGAGGAAATTGATCATTTGCTAAAAATCCTGTTCATAAATAAATAAATAAATAAATATATATATATATATATATAAATATATAAATATATATATATATATATATATATATATATATATATATATATATATACATATATATATATATATATATATATATATATATATATATATATATATATATATATATATATGTATATATATATATATATATATATATATATATATATATATATATATATATATTTGTAGATATATATATGTATATATATATATATCTATGTATATATATATATATATATTATATACATATATATATATATATATATATATATATATATATATATATATATATATATACATATATATATATATATATATATATATATATATATATATATATATATATATATATATATATATATATATATATATATATATATATATATATATATATATATATATATATATATATATATATCTTATAGCCTGACTCGCAAGGGAGTGCTGCTACATCGACTGAGGGTTTGATTTGGGCAGGCAGATTTTGATTTTTAATTAAAACATTCGCGATTTTCATTCAAAACATTTAACGCATGCGCAATCTCAACATTCTATATTATTTAAAAAAAAAAGGTCTTCTTTATATATTTATTTATCTAATATTATATAAATTTATTTTTATTAATATTATATTAATTTATTTTAATTTAATGGAATTTATTTTAAATTAGAATGGATGTCACGTTTGTTTTAAATGGATGCAAAACCATATTTTTTACATATTTTTTATACACATACTGTATTGGCAAAACAACCATGATTTTCAATTAAAACATGCATGATGATAATGAGATTGGTCGTTGATAAAAGAAAAACTCAATCTGAAACTTCATTGCCACGAAAAACTCAATCTGAATCTTCATGCCGCGAAATTCCGATTCTCAAAATATGCAAGATCTTGTTGTAAATCTAGTCGTTGATCAAGGTAAAACTCAATCTGAAGCTTCATCGTTAACAGGAGTTAATCGAAACACAATACAATCAATTTTAAGAAGGTACGATCGAACGAGCTCAACACTTCCTGGTTCTAGATGTGGCACTCGTCACGTTACTTATAATGAAGAGATTAGAAGAAGAATTGAAGAGCTTATAAACGATAACACAACGACAACTATAATTGAAGTTAAATAGTCTTTAAATGTAAATGTATCAACTAAAACTGTCAGGAGATGGGTGACCAATCTTGGATACACATATAAAATTACTCGACCAATTTATGAAAGAAGAAACGACAATGATGTAAAAAATCTTCGTATTGAATATGTTGGGTGGTATACTTCAATCTCGCCTATTAATCGCTATCGAAATATCGTTTTTATTAATGGAAGTTCATTTAATTTACACATGTTTTGCAGTCATTTATGGGCAAGAAGAGACACCAAACCCGATCATTCACCCTAGGCAACGTAACGTTTCGCTGATATTGGCCGTCAATGGTATAATATTATTCACTGTGAAGCTGTCAGTCAACACAGTGTGTCAGTCAACACAGTTTTGTTTCAAGAATATATTGATAAAGTTGTACGAGTTTTGGGGACAGAGGAATAACTCACCCTGGTGATGGATAATGTCAGAATCCATCATAATGTTGAGATAAGGGCTCAGAACATTCAAATAAAATATTTGCCACCATATTCACCATTCTTGAATCCGTGTGAAGAGATTTTTTTTTATCTTAAGAATAACGTGCGAAGAAATACGGCCCCAGCTGGAAGAAATGAACTAATTTCAAGAATGCGCGAGGCATGCTTATCTATTCCTAATGTTAACTTATCAAACTATTTTACACACACTGCGAAAGCTTTTTCGAAGCGTGTCTTAGGTCAGATGACATACCTCGACAGTAGTTGGAAAATAAACATGTTTTAAATAAAATAAAATTTTAAAAATAATATGTTGTTGAGAATGTTGAGATTGCGCATGCGTTACATGTTTTAATTTAAAATCACGATTGTTTTAATTGAAAATCACGTTGTTTTAATTGATTGTCGCGGTGTTTTAAATGAATGTAATGGTTGTTTTAAATGGTTGTCTTGATTGTTTTAAATGGATGTAAAAACCGGTATATATATATATATATATATATATATATATATATATATATATATATATATATATATATATATATATATATATATATATATATATATATATATATATATTTATATATATATATATATATATATATTTATATATATATATATATATATATATATATATATATATATATATATATATATATATATATATATATATATATATATATATATATATATATATATATATAGATATATATATATATATATAGATATATATATACATGTATACATACATACATACATACATACATACATACATACATACATACATACATACATACATACATACATACATACATACATACATACATACATACATACATACATACATACATACATACATACATACATACATACATATATACATTATTTTTAATACATTTTTTTTATAAATATTTTATAAACATATATAACAAATATAACACATTCATTTTATTAATATAATAAATCTTAAAATGAATTGACTGCCTGTCATAAGGAAATATATTTTTTATTTACACTCATTGCTTCAATAAATTAAAAATAAGTATAAAAGAAGAAAAAAAAGTAAACTAAAACACTATAGAAAATAAAACCGAATCAATCAATTAAAATAACAAAATTTTTTTAAAATATAAAGTTGTGCTTTGTGAATTTTTATTTTTATTAAATATTTATATAAGCAATACTAAGAGGGGCGGTTACGGAGTTAGGATTACTTTATAAACATATGACAAAAGTTCTTTTTTCTCTATAATTTTTTTTCTCTGAAGCGGTCTGTAAAAGTGTGTTTTCTTTCGTTTGTTTTTATAAATAGAGTTGATATCCTTAACATCTCGATCACCCAAAACTTGAAAATAAATAATAAAAATTTTTAATACTAAAAATAATATTGCGAAAGAAATTATTATTTTATTCGGCAATATATGATTTAAATTGGACATTATTACCTGTGACAATAACAGATAATTTAAATATGTCATATAGAAAGCACGTCAAATATAATGAAAATGAGTTAAAATACAGAAAAGATAATATTGAAAGAATTAGAAATAGTCTTCTAACAATTTGAAACTAAATAAATTATCTTAAACCAGATGAGACCGGAGCCGTAAAAACTTACAAAGACCCGTAGCCTTTGAAAGTCTATTCCAAACTGAACTTTTCTTTACTTTTTCCTTATATATACTAGCTTTGCGGATCCGTAAAAAACCGGCCTACCAAGCCTACCTTTTCTATACATATCTATTCCTCACCGATTGTTTCTATACCTATTACTTACTCACTTCAATATTTTTTAGTAAAGTAATTTATTCTGAAAAAAAAAGTTTAAGAGCAAAAACTTAACATTCGGCCCTTTTCCGCTTACGTAGAGCTTATAAGAGCATTATAATTAGGTTTGTTTTTCTGCTAAATGATAGCTCAGTAGTTAAGTCTGCTGTTACCAGTTGTTACGCTGTTGCTTTAGGGGGTTTAAGTCCTCCTCTTAGCATAATAAACTTTGAAGTTTTTTTAATCTTGCTTATATATTTAAAGCAAAAAAATAATAATATAGCAAAAAAAAATTTTAATTTAAAATAAAATTTTAAAGTACAGTCATTTTATAGTTATATTATTATATTTTATAGATATATTTTAAAGATATATACGCTATTATTTCTTATAATGCCTGCAAACTCAACATTTGCTAAAAATGTTTACACTAACAGACGTTTGTATGTAACGCTGTACAAATGGAACTAAGAAGACCTCAGACCAATAAAACATAGTCCTTAAAAAAAAGTTCATCCTCATTCTTATGATTATGGTTAAAAACTAAAGAATAATAGCCTCAGCTATTAAATGCTAATCTAAAAGTTAAGCCAAAAATTTTGCGCATTGACGTCAGTTTGTGGCAAAATGATCATGTATGTTAGGGTTGTTCGCCGAAAAACAAAACTTGCGAAAATTTCGCATCTTTATCTACCGTAATAGAATTGTTATTGCGGAAGTTGCACATGCAAAAATGCACATTCCGTAACGCGCTATACGAAAATATAAATAGTAAATAAAATTCCGTAATAAAGCATTGCAAAAGAAAACTTGCGAAACAAATCATTTCGTAAGAATACTTACGAAATAGTTCCTTACGGAAAAAGCATTCCGGAATGTGTAGTTACGTAAAAGACGCAAAAGATTTTATGTTACAATATATTTAAGATATTAACTGTTAACAGTTTAAATAATAAATAATAAAATTATAAAAAAGTGTTGTCAAATGATTCTTCAAATGTTTATACAAATATACCTAATATATATATATATATATATATATATATATATATATATATATATATATATATATATATATATATATATATATATATATATATATATATATATATATATATATATATATATATATATATATATATATATATATATATATATATACATTAACGGGAATTTACTGTATATATATGTATATATATATATATATATATATATATATATATATATATATATATATATATATATATATATATATATATATATATATATATATATATATATATATAATATATATATATATATATATATATATATATATATATATATATATATTTATATATATATAAATATATACATATATATACAGTAAAATCCCGTTAAGTTGGACTCTCAATGAACAGATAAACAGCATGCCTTTCTTTTTAAAAAGTATAAAGAGGATGTGTGATAAACAATTAAATACTTTTTACGAGAGATCTCTCTAAAGGTAAATGATATCAGAAAGAGTAAAAAGAGAAGAAATATAAGTGAAACAGCGGGATGTGAACCTGGGTCTACGCGGCCAAATGTCTTAACTGAATGAGCTATACGTTCATTCAACTAAGTGAATTGTAATAC